CACTATTCACTCGCCATATCCTATTAAATTCCTCAGGATTGACTGCTCGGAGAGTTCAGCATTTCTGGAACAGGTGTGAGATCATGCTTTGGCATTTCATTTGTTCTTGGGCAAGGCTTTGTAGGACTCGGGTATCGTGCGTATCGTGCGTATCGTGCAGTGGTTTTCTGTGGTTAGCTCTCGCAATTGAGGCCTCTGTGGAGCCCTGTACTTGGGTTTATTATAGCAGTCGACCACGACTGCTATTCTTAAGGGCATGCGGCACATCTCTGTCCTTCCTCTCCCACCCCACGTCTCCTTCCATCCTCGCACATCCCACTCTTCTCCCCCACCTCCCCCAACGCCTTTTCCTTGATCTAGAAAGTAACAGTTTTCTTTCCTTATACTCTCAAAATTCCTTTCCCTTTCTTGCATCACATCCATTTTGTCATTCTTACTTTCTTAGACACCGGCAGAGTGTTGCTTTTCTCTTCCAACATCGATTACTAATAGCACTATGTCGTTTCTCACGGATCATAAACGTGGTGTCGCCGTCATTGGAATGTCTATCACCATTCCAGGACATAGTAATGGGTTAGTTTGTCGTTTTGTCGTTTTGTACTTTCTGTTTTTTTATTGGGGAGCATTGGGTAGATTCCCTGTTTGTTTCCTTCCACTTTTGTGGATACGTTGTGTTAGTTTGCCTCCTCTTCATGGATCGTGGGGTTCACAGATGTGTACAAGCTTGATGATGCGTCTCCTTTTTTGCCAAGGGAGTCAGTGACTATATAGGGTTTACTACAGGTCACTAATACACCATACCAGTCTTGATCCCAACGGAAAAGAAGTTCCCCAATCAGCAACCGGCATTCTGGACCTCCGGGGGTTTTCCGACCTCCTTGAAAACGGTGGAGTATCCTACGGGCCAATCCCCTACGACCGCTCGACAACTACAGTATCCGACTCCGGAGAATTCCAGACTCCTGATGTAAGAGGCTCCCTTTCCCCATTCTTATTCCTCCGGGGTTTCAAATTTCTAACTCCATCCGTGTATAGAAGCAGGGGAGCTATTTTCCAGAACTCCCAACATACGACCCGGAAGAATTAGGAGTAACTCGAGAAGAACCGGATGAGTATACCCCATCGGCAAACTTGCTGATTCGTGAGGCGTCCAGTGCTTTGTTTGATTCCGGCATTCGTTATCGTGGGTGTCGGGTTGGAGTATTTGTGTCTGCTTCTGGGTATATAGAGTGTGCTTGGGCACAAGCCGTTGCGAAGTGGATTAGTGCTACTCTGAAACTAACTGGGCCGAGCATTGGTGTTAGCGCGGTACTTAATTAGCAATATTGATTTAAGGGAAAAGTATAACTAACTGAGGAAATTATAGGATGGGTTAACCGGTTCAGCCGCTGTGTACAAAGCAATGAAATCTATCCGGGAGGGAGAATGTGATTCAGCAATCATCTGCGCAGCAAATCTGGTTACCTTCAAGGACGAAGTTGCGGAGCTGATTTATCGCGGCCTAATATCACCCGACACTACTTACCCAGTCACTGGAGTAGCCAATGAGTTTGGACGCGGAGATGTGGCTGTCGCGGTAGTTATCAAACACCTGGAGTCTGCAGTCACTGATGGTGATCGTATTTACTGTACCATTTTAGGATCTGCGTTGATTGAGCCCGTTGAGGTTGGGCGGCCGTCTGGGCCGGACAGGAAAGATCTGTCTTCGGCTGTAGTGGAAGCTTATACTAGCGCGGAGGTTCCCCTTAGCCAAGGCAAGTTTTTTGTTTGTTTGCCCTCTGGGGAATCACCTTATCTGATGCGATATGGTCCGTTGTAGTCGGTTTTCTAGAAATATGCGGAGAGGCTACTCTCAATGGAGAGAAGACTGAGATAGAGGTTATGAACTCTCTTGCGGGATTTGGTGGAAATCCCCTAATGTTTGGCTGTGTCAAGTCCAATGTAGGACATTGTGGAGCTGGCGCCTTTTTGACCTCCTTAGTAAAGGTTAGTCCGTCCCCCTGTGTGCAATAAGGATCCAAATGGCACTAACAACTCATAGTGCTCTTTAATGCTTTACAAGAAGATTATTTTCCCGGATGGTTTTCTCTCTCGAACAACGTTCGAAACCAACGAGAGTAGAACTTATAGGTTCGAAAGTTTATTGAAAGCCAAGAAATTTATCACCAACGACGGGGTAGCGACTGCCTCCATATCTGACTACTCTGCAGGAGGTGTCTGCGCCCATTTCGTACTCACAAGCAATGAAAATAATAAGAGAGGGATAGGTACTCTCGTTGAATCTGGCCCGTATCTCTTCCTTGCGGCAGGGGCGAGTGCGGAATCTGTGAAACACAGGATCGAGGTTTACCCCCGTATGTACGGGGAGTATAATCAGCGGAATGTGGCGTCTAGTATTTCACAACGGGAAAAACAAATGACATGGAGGAGCTTTGGTGTAGGTGATAATATATCGGCAATAAGTTTTTCCTCACCAGTCCAAACCCCAAAGGATTCCAAATTTCCTATCTTAGCTATCTTCTCTGGACAGGGACCGCAAAACGCCTGTATGGGCAGAAGCTTGTTCACGAGATATTCTGCCTTTCGAGACAGCATCACGAAATCTGATGAGATTCTCAAAGAGTATGCAGGATTTTCCTTTGTCGAGAAAACTATGCTCTTTCAAGCGGATTCACCCCCCGGCCTCTCAAACTGGCCATGGCCGACAGCCGTAGGCACAATGGCGATTATATTTTTTCAGGTAGCGCTGTACGATCTCATGCTTGCCTTTGGTATGGAGCCGGACATCATAATTGGGTATTCTATGGGTGAAGTCGCTGCTATGTATGCCAGTGGGGCGTTGACTCACGAAGCAGTGATTCAACTGATATGGGAAAGTGGGGAATCGTTTTTGGCTGCTGATGGGCGTGGGACCATTGCTGCTGTCGGGTGCTCTGCTCAAACAGCGGATGAGGTTTTGACTAAAGTCAACCAAGATAATCCCCTCACAGCCAAACTCGCTCTCTCTTGCTTCAGTTCTCCTCATGCTGTTTCGGTTGCTGGGTGTTCGTTAGGGATAGCAAAGTTCCTTGCAGGAATTGCTTATCGTCAAATACCGTACGCGGAATTGAAAGTTCGGGAGGGGGTACACTCCCCCTTTCTTGACTCCTGGAAAGAAGTGCACCTCAAAAAGCTTAGGGAGATATTCGCAAAACAAGAGGGAAATCTACTCCCACGCATCCCGGTTATATCGACAGTGACTGGAAAGCTGGTTGTTGATCCTTATAGCCCTGAGTACATTTGGCATAATCTCAGACAGCCTGTTCTATTTTCGGATGCTGTTAGGAATGCTCTTGAGAGGCATCCGAGCCTCGTGTCCATTGAATTCGCCCCGAACCCTGTGTTTGGGCGGCAACTTAAAGAGATGGGAGTCAAGCAAGTATTTCCGACCTTACGGAAGTCGAAAAATCCGGAGATGGAAATGAGAGTATTTTTTGAGAACCTAGGAGATATGGTTGTAGGTGGAGTTGATTGCCTAGACGTTTCGAAGATCAATGGAAATTTGATGGGCGGGGAACTGCGCCTGAGCATCCCCTGTCCGTGCAAACAATCTACTAACGAGCGGCCTCCTCAAAGAGCTACCAAAGGACATCCATGGGGTCTCCTACCGCTTCCACCAGGAGGCTTACAGGTTGATACTTCGGTTCTAACTCGTGGCCCTGAGCATCATGCCATAACCAATGGGCCGGACGTCATAGCTTGGGCTGCCTACCTAGAGCTGGCCATGGGACAGCTAGGCGTGTGTGGCTTACGTGATGTCCGGTTTTTGAAGAATTGCACTATTTATTCTACTCCTACTCTCTCGCTTTACTTCCCCTCAGTCCTCCGTATCACATTAGGAGGAAAGGGAAATAAGTTACTGATACATTCTTCATCAAGTGCCACTCTAGAAATTACTGAGTCTGGGGGGATCGAAGGAGACAAGCGTCAGCCGGACGACTATAAAATGCAGGACCCCTTTAACGAGTTACATTTTACTGCAGAGGTTGAGAGAAAGGTCGACTTGACCGGAGTTATCACTCGGGTTAATGTTCACGAGGTTCTAGCGCGATGTAGTTATGAGATGGATGGTGCCATCATTTATCAGAGATGGGACAGCATACGCCATTATGAGGATAATTTCAGACGGATTAGGTGGATGTGGTCAAACAAGTGAGCTCCCCCTCTTTTCTATTTTTTCCCTTTGTTTCTTTTCTTTGAGCGCTTCAGACTTTGTATTTCTGTTTTAGTTTGGCTTACTCGTTCGGTGTGGAAATAAAAAAAATAGAAAAGAATCTATCACTGAAATTAACGGTGATCTTGATTCGACAAACCAATACTTTTTCAACCCTCTTCTTGCAGAAACTATATTCCAAATAATCTTAGGTTTCGAGATAAATGAGTATGCCTATGGCCCCGCGGGTGGGAAGATCTTGCAGGTCCATTCTATCGATAGGTGTTTTCGTAATGACGGACTCCACAAGCCGTTGGTTCTTCCGGGTGTGTTTAGAGTTTACTCCAAAAAAATAGAGTGGGGCCCCCATCATGCAAAGCTCGACCATTATATTCTCGGATCCGAAGGCGGAGGTAATTCTACCAAGTGAAGAAAAGATTAATCAAGTTATTTGTCTAACAGACACCTATTAGTAGTTTTTACTTTCCTGGGAATTCACTACCGACGTACACAACTGGGTGATGAGAGCCTTTTGGTTGAGAACCGATTTCATTTGGTTACTACCAGGTGCGACTATCCAGGAAGTTGGAGAGAAGCAAACATTGTACTTCCTGCCAGAAGTACTGAGGTATCCGACTGCTATTTACTTCGCCTATTGGACGATTGCGCTATAAATAGTACAAAAGTAGTAGTATTTGGAGGTGACACAAGCATAGCTGATCTCGACGGAGAGCTTTCGGGGGCATACACTGAGCGCCGCAAATACGTCTCATGGTGCATCAGCGTTTCTTCTAGGTCATCTCTCCCGATGTCTAGAATAGCCGGTCTCTTGCCGTTGGGGGGTCAAAGATTCATGCCTCTATTAAGAGCTATTTGTTGTACTCAGACGGAGGTGGCGCTGGATCCTACCAAAGCTGAAGGGTTGCTTTTTAATGACAGAAACTTGGAGCAAATATGGAATGAAGTTCCTTTCCGAGGTGGCGTTTTCGCCCGTACTATAGAGGAATTTAAAATGGTAGTAAAGAGTTACGGGTCATCTAGGATGGTTAGAGTTCTTGAACTAAATGCTGGGCATGGGTGTCTCACTAAAGCCATGGGAAATGCTATAAAAGAAGCAACTTTGGAGCTTCCAAATCTCCAGATTGAATACTATTGCGCTGATCTAGATTTAGGTCTTGCAGAACGCAGTGCAAAGTCATCGCCCTGGCAACCCGTTAGCCCAGTAAGCATGACTTTCAGCGGTAGGCTTGATTTGCAAGGAATTCCTCGGGTTGACATAGTTGTTGGTTTGAATGCCTTATATACATTCCCGACTCTTAAGATTGGACTGCTCTCGATAGAGAGTATTCTTCTACCTGGAGGGTTTCTCATGCTTATCGAGTTTGATAGAAGGGCCCACGAGGGCATCACACCTGGTGTGATATGGTGTGAGTAATTTGCCCCATACCATTTGTATCTGTATTTCCTAACTAGTCGCAGTAAACTTTGTGTTTGGGGGCCTTAAGGGTTGGTTTGATAGCCCAGATCTTGGGAACGAAGATGGCGCAATAGAATATGGCAGGAAATCAGCGAGAGAAATTTTCAGGGAGTCCGGATATCTCGACCCTTGGTTTATTGAGATTGAACGCCCACAACATGTGTGTCACCGGACATTGATTACTCGCATTCCACATCTATCTGGTAAGAGGGCGTTGAATCACACCCACGCACAGCCCCTGCCAAAGGTTTTGATTACTATTCCTGAGGGTGCTATTGATATGGCCACGGCCACAACTGGGAGAGAGACAGGAGAGGTTTCAGAGAAGAGGCAATGGGTTGATTCGTTTGCCTACCATTACCACTTCGGTGAAGATGCGGCACTGATGAAGTTTATAGGCTCCTTGGACGCTCAAGAAAGTGTTAAACTTGTCCTCTATACCATGGCGAGTGGGCAAAACAGTAATGCCTTGATCGGTATTTCGAGAGCGGTCCGACAGGAATTTCCAAAATGGGGTATTCAGTTAATAATATTTGACCAGGATCTCGGAGGTACTCGTTTGAGCGACTTTTTGTTTCATCATTTACCTTTTCAACGACCTTCTACTCCACCGGAGCTCTATATCAAGAAAGGCGAAGTCTGTTGGGCTACGGAATTGAGAGTCCTGGACGGTATTGACAGGAAAATCCCTCCTAGAGATTTCCCGTATGCATGGAAAGAAGATCATGAACCTTGGGCTCACTATCCACCTCAGATTGGTGAGTATGATGTCGAGATTCAGGTACATAGTCTCCAAAAACCGGACTCTCAGAAGTCAGCCTTTGGTTTTTCTGGTAAGATCAGGCAGAAAGGACAGAGAGCTATAATTCCAACAGGTACGCCGGTGGTCGGTGTATCCCTCAAAGGCCCAATGGCGAGCACATTAGTCTGTCACTGTGAAAGGATCTCGAAACTTCCACCTGGATTTCACTTTCAATTTTGTGCGACAGCTATTCGTTCTATGGTTACCTGCGATCTTATTATGGAGAAACTGCCTGAGTTAATCCGACGTGACAAACGTATACTTATCCATGGCGGCCCACCCGGACTGCGGCTTGGGACTGCGATCTGTCTCGGCCGAATACTTTATCGTAAAGGATGGGTTATATACTTTACATCTGACAACGCTCAGGACATACCCTGTAATGCAGCAAGCTTTCGGTACTCAACTATAGATCCAGACATCTTTGTTCGCGAGGTGAAAAACCATACGCTCGGCAGAGGCCTCGGTTGCATGATTGGCTTTACCAAAGATCATATTCTTTTATCTCTAAGCCTTGAGATACTATGGGAGGCCCCTGCGAATATTATAGTAGTCGCCGAAGAGGGCACTATACATTCTGTCTTAAACTTGCCTGGACAAAAGCCGAATCAAAACTTTACATTTATCAATCCAGAAAAATGTATGCAACAGAATTACCATTTGGTCCCGGATGCAGTTTTTCGTTTCACTGCGGGTGATGGGTATACCATGTCAGTATGGGATCATGAAGAGAGCTTGGTGGCACTTGACCTTACAGAGATGGAGCCTGAGGGGCCTATCTTGCGGGCTGGCGTTGTTAGAGGAACTCCGGCTTTCAATCCCAGAGCGACATATGTGCTAGTTGAAGGGATATGCTGTATTGGTTTGGCTATGGCTAAATTTATAATTGAGCATGGAGGGTTGCATGTAGTTGTTACCTATGGGAGTTATCAGAATTCTATGGAGACAGGTAAGTTCACTTCCGGGCTTTCTATTCAATCCACAAACTCACAGATATTTCACTACTTATAGACCATAACTCTAAGGAGAGATCGCTTTTCGATAGTCTCCGTGAGTTGCCTGGTGTTACTATCAAAGTTGCTTGCGTCCAGGCTAAAAACATTAGGTCTATGAGGGTACTGTTTGACAATCAGGAACCTCCTGTAGCAGGTGTTATCTGGTTTTCTCCAACACACGAGGACACAGCCGCCAGAGTCAAAGACCAGAAAAATTGGGACAGAGTTTACTCAACCTGGGCTGCTACTGCGAGTATTTTGTTAGACTCCTTAGATGTCAGAAAACTTGAATGGCTGGTTTATTGTTCCTCTTTTTCCTCCATGACTGGCCAATCTGGGCGAGCAGACATCTGTGGGGCTCAGGCAATAGTCAGGGATATTATCACCAGGTTCGAAAACTGCACAAATGTGGTCATCCCACCTATAATTGATCAGGACCCCTTCCTGTTCCCTAAAACAGCTGAGGAGAGGGCAGATACTTGCCAAAACTACACGCCTGTCGGGATGAGAACTATTGATATCTGCAAGTGCATCCTTGATGCAATATGGTGTATGCCTAAGTCAAATATGTATATTCCAGACATGGGTTTGGTAGGTTTGACTAAATATGGTCTTTCCCGGAATTTCTGGGGGCTAGGAAAGGCTGTTGCGAGACCAAAGAGTGCTTTACCCGATCATCTGTTCGGTGTTGCAGGGATTGTTTCACAAACTCTTAGGATCTCTCAGGATGAAGTTACTCTTAATCTTGAGTTAAGTACAGTGGGGATGGATACTTCCCAAGCCATGCAATTGTCCCAGAGGCTGGAGAGTAAAGTTGGGCTGAGGGTACCCTACCCAAAACTGTTTGTTCCAGGCTTGACTTTGGGGAAGCTGTTACAGGAGGCAAGCTGTTCAGGAAAAAAGGAGCGCCTTACCTCTCTTCTCCCATCTTTCATTGGCCGAGAACCCCTTTTTGGGTTAGAAAAAGATGTGGTTATGAGAGGAAACCTAACCACTGAGGGTGTTCCAATCTTTATTATATTCCCGCCTACAATCCCTACTAGTATCGCCTTCGCCTGGCTTGCTAGCTTGTTTCCGCTTCCCACATATATCCTGCCGAGCCCTCAACACAAGCCTGATAGCTGTATCGAGGCGATTTCGGAGAATTACTTTCATCAGATACTCATTACACTTCAGTACCATGCATCCTCAGTGCATCTAGTATCATTCTCCTACAGCTCACCTATAGTCCTAAGCCTAACCGAGAGGCTACTCTACAGTGGGCATAAAGTCGAATCACTGGTCTTCCTAGACTACTCCCCTTCGTTAATCTACTCGAGCTCTTTCAACTCATTTATGGGTAACAGAATCTCTAGCAACTATTGGCAGGATCTAATCCTTGACCATCTAGAGGATATCCGAGCCATAGAGCCCTCTCTCGGGCTGATTTCGGACATTCTCCAGCAGGCGAAAGAGTTCTTTGATGGGAATCTATCTGGGAAAAATAAGTGGTGTTTTGAGTATCTGGATACCTATATTAACTATGCCAAAATCCTACACAAAGCTTCAACCGTGGTGCTTAATGGCTCCCAACAGAATCCGTGGGAGTGTGTTGAGCAATTAGCCCCGAAAGTATTTTTGGCGAAGGCAAAGCGTGGCATTGTTACAGAACCCTGGTTTTGCGATGATGGAATCGATAAGAACTGGGGTATACCAGCAGTCCTGGACCCGATTATCAAGGAGTACGACTGCGGGCACTGCGGGATCTTGTCAAGACAAACCGACTTGGTTGAGAGTCTCCGGGTGTTTTGGGGTGTTGGGGGGGGTTCAGAGAGGGATGCTTACAGGGATGGAGGGTATTACAACGATACAATAAATAACAATGGAATCAGGGGAGTGTAGGACAGCGATTGAAGTACCCCGTGTGGGTAGTGGGCGATGATATATCTCCTTGATTTTACTGATAGGTGGTTGGGGTTCTAGCTTGAGTTTGCTTTTCTTCGTTCTACTTCTTGAATCCAGATAGGGGGCGGTTGATGGACGGGGAGGGGAGATGCCGATATGGATGTTTCGGATAGTTGTATTTTAGCAGGTTTTCTTTCTGTTGCTGGATACACTTTTTCTCTATCTCTTCCAACTCTTTTTGAGTTATTCCAGGCAATAAAAAAGACTTTTCTCCTCATATTTCTTTTGTCCTGTGCTTCCCAGTAGGGTGAAATCTCCTCAGCAGTGGAGTAGAATTGCACTTAACGTTTTTGCATAGATGCCGAAACATGCATACAAGTACTTGTAATTAGATCTTCAACTGTTTTTAGAAATTGTAACACCTTCCTGTTTCATAATTGGTTTGTTAGTTATGCTGGATTACTAATCTCCCAATTTACAAATCCGGCGTTACCTCAGTTTCCTAAGGCTAGGGAAAATTACATGTGCCAAGGCACACTAAACCATTCTGGTCAGCGCGTGAATCTATCCGTACCTTGCCGAATTTCAAGGCACCGTAGAGCGGGTGGGTCTTGGCCGACAAGGGTACGATAGGTGTTTTTCCGGTCGGAGGAGGAGTGTCCTGGGGAATACATAGACTATCTCGTTTCTGTCATGGCCATGCTAATTGGTCCTTTAAGGGGGTGTTGGGCTCAGAATGCACAAACTGAGTACCACTCAGCATGGCTATAATCGAAACATCATCCTCTGGGCACATTTAATCATGATTGCCCCAGTAGGCCAGTACTCGGCAGTCTGGACAGGGCTGAAAGTCCACACTACTTTACAGGTACAGCGTAGGTATTTGCAACTACCTCCAGCAAGGGTTAGAATAGAGCCTGCCGTAATTACAAGGTAAGGGATAGTCTGAGCTGAAAACTTACTCCACCCTATACCGGAACTGAGCCAACGCCACCTGTTCCACAAGGAGACAATGTATTGCGGACCATAAAAGGGCAATCCAATATGTGAGTGGCTTAAGTAGACAAGAGAGAGTTGATATGGTGCTATACGAGTCAAATGAAAAGCATCGGCGGTCAATCAAAGACCTTGTGTTATCTAGTACCGACGGAGCCAACACAGAAGTAGCGATCCCAAGCTGCCAGTCCGTCCGGCTTTGAGTACGGCCGGACAGTGGGAAAGCGGCTTTTCCAAACCAAAGCCGGGCCCGGCCTGGGTCACCCGCAGGCCGATGTTTCAAGTGATCCCGTGTGTTTCATTACTAAGAAATATTCTATCATTCAACAGGACTAACTGTTTCATGTGGACAATACATATTCACCCGGGGTGGCCAGAGAGTTGTGTGAATAATAGTATAGTGCCTTGAGGTAGGACAGCGTATTTGGGTACAGCGGGGGTTCATCGCTGGATGTCGTGCATTTACCTTGAGTGAGATCTATAGCGTCAGGCGCATGTTGCTCCAGTGATCCCAAGCGGCCAGTCCGGACCACAGTCCGGACTACAGGTCGGCAGTCGGGTCAGTCCGTCCTTAGTTTTGAAAAGCCTAGGCCAGTCCGGTCGAAATTCTCTGCGGCCGCCAGATGCCCAGGTAATCTG